TAACCCACATACATATGAGCTACTAATTTGCGAAATCGATTAACTCCGCAAAACAAAAAATAGAGAAAAGTAATAAAGCAATATACATTGTCCTATCAATTATTAGTCAACGTCAGGAAAAACAATTGTTATTTAGTGATATTATTACATAAAAATTATTTGAGATATTAAAAATTAAGTAAAGATCAAGTACTTTGATAAAAGTAATTTAACACTTAGCCATTTCAATGTAAGTCGGTGCCCAACCGATTGGGGAGATCTCCCACGTTGTCATTAGCAACGCGTTTCCTTTTTTTCATGACTTGTTCACTACTGACGAATTGTTTCTATAATAAAATCCATCAATTTAGTTCGGCTTGTTCAAGCGTGGTGGAAATCGTACAGTTCGCTGCGCACGCGTGGTTGGCTAAGTGTTAATAATAAAAGTGAAATGAATCGTTTTTGCTTATCAAAAGCTTATATATCGAAGTATCTTCCATAATATCTTATTATGAGATTTAGCAAAATTCTCGTCTCCTTTGTTTCTTCTCCTTATCTCTCGGTTAATGTTCGGGATCAAGTAACAATGTCCATTAATAACAAAAGATAATTGCTCGAGTACTGTCGAGAGTATCTTTTCTCAACTTTATCGAATCATTCGAAGGGAATGCGACTCAAGACTTTGTTAAGTCAGCCTCCCGCAAAAGGATCAAATCTATGATTCCTCTGTAGTTGATCGAAGAGAAAGAGAAAAATAAAGAAAGAAAAAAAGAAAGAGAGAAAGAGAGAAAATTCTTTTCGTTCGCGATCACCAGCTAAAATCTCTCTTATTCGAACGTGAGTTTCTTTCTAGTGGAGAGGCTACGACTCATGCTCAGAGAATGTGATTTAAGTCTGCATAAAAGACGACGTTCGCGCGGAATTACAAGGGCCAACGGAGTTCCGTTCTGTTCCGTTCTGTTCTGTCCTCCTCGTCGATTATTCTCTTCGCTACCGAAGAACTTTCGTTCGACTGCATGCATAGAATATCGAACGATCACTTATCGACTTCATTCACAAGAGAAAGAGAAAGAGAAAGAGAAAAGAAAGAGAAAGAGAAAGAGAAAAGAAAGAGAAAGAGAAAGAGAAAGAGAAAGAAAGAGACACGTAGTTTCGTTTTCTTGAATCTCGTTGCAGAACTATTTTTCCTTAGGAGAAAACTCAATGCGTTTAGCGTTCCACCAGCTCTATTTCTTTTCAAATCGTGAATTTTTTTCCGTTCGTTTCGCTTCTACGTATCACGTATCCACCATTGTTTGGCCACCACGACACGATGATTTTTTTCTTATTCCATCTTAATCCACCGAGGAGAATATCCAATCCGATGACTCAACTAACGCGATACTATACGCGACAAAGTTTAGTCATTGTCTTTGGATACGTTTACGAATAATGCCGTTGTACCTTGAAACGTGAGAACTCATGCTCGTCGAATTACGTTAAATGTTGAATTCAAATGTTAAATAACAAAAAAAAAAAGAAATATGATGTAAGTATTATTATACTTATATTCTATAGGGATTTATAAACAAATGTGACGATTATTATGACACCGAACTATGTTAACATATTGAACTAATTTATTTTGTTGTACAATTAAATGTTGTATAAATTAAAAGATTAAATCAATTTGTTTTTTATTTTTTGACTTATACTAGTTTATCGTCATTATTACTGGAACATATATACGTATCCATAATATATATATACGTTCATAAATTATATACAATGTTTTTTAAAACTCGTCACTTTACATAATTCTTGATTTGACGTAATTTTGATTTTTAGAATAAATAATACAATTTGGATATCAAGGAGGAAGTTTAAAATCAATATTAATACAATTTTGAGTTCTCCATCCTATCTACCTCAGATACTCCTACTTTAAAATTGTAAATGGCATCTTCTACTTCATGATATATTATTTTAAAGGTAATAGAAATTCGAATCTGGCCACATTTAAAAAATTGAACTCGATCGATTCGTTTACAAGATATAGTTAAGAATTATGAGTTAGAGCTACAAATGATTTATTTTCCGTATAACTATATTTGAAGAAAATTCACCTTTTTAAATATTCATAATGTGTACTGTTACTGATTTAATAATACAATGTATTACAACTTATACTAAATGTATAAATAAATAATCCAAATTTTTGTTAGCAGTTTAATAATGAATGCCAAGATCGACTTATTTTCTTTTGTGATTATTTTGCGTTGATAACTTTGAAAATGACATTAATAAATGTATAATTGGCTTATAATTTTTAGATCTCTCGTAAATTTAATTTTTTAAACCTGATTAAACAAAGGTTTTTATTACCGTTCAAATGATATATCACAAATTATGGGATGCTATTTAACATTTTAAAGTAGTGGTAGATGAACGAATCTCTTGATGCCTAAATTGACGTATTTTTTTGACAAATTGAAATTACTTAAAATCAATAATTATGTTAAAGGATGGTAAATTTCAAAATAAAAGCACTATATATAAATCTATTCGATAAATATTTTATATACAGAGGTAAATACATAAACTGTAAATTTAAACGAAATGAATCGTTGATTACAAAAGTATCTCATTTAAATTATATATTTTTATAATAATACAAAAACTTTTAAAATTATCCGTTGATATGTAGTGAAAGTTAATAAATAGAAGAATTCCGAGTTCAAAAATAATACGACTAATCATCTGACGGTTTTAAAGTTCTTTCGAATTACTCTCACAAACGATTATTTGTTTTTATTCTTCAGAGTCTACGTACCCCAGTTGCTAACTGATCAGTTAAAAAGCCAAAAATGTAACAATCTTCATCAGGATCAGAGAGGAAATTATTTTCTGCCATTTTCAGGAAGACTATATTTTCACTCAGTAACCGAGCACTTGTTTTTCTATAAAAGTCCTTTCTTAGAAAATGTTTTGTAATTATAATTGCCCGAGCACGCTACACTTAAATAGGTACGTTACAGGTAAATAGGTAGATATATATCCTTGCGTATAGGAGATAAACTAACTCGAACATAAATAAAATTTCACGTCGAGAAAAACGTAAACATTAAAAAAAAAAATTTGTTTGGTAATTTCGTCTTATATAATTAATAAACAATAAAAGGAAATCATTTTAAAATATTTGCTTATATTTTGTATTGTATTTTTTAAAAGCCTAATTAATTTATTAATAATTAATTTAATTTAAAATTGTTTTAATTTGTTCTTCTTTTCATCTTACAAATTTTCTGATCATTCTGTTAATCCCATTGAATTGAACAAAATGTAGATATCATTTAAACTTTATTAAGAGAAGATGGGTTAATTAAAACGTACGCGAAGAAGACTTGAAAGTAACGAAAGATTTGCTAGAAGGAGGTCACATCTGTTTGACGTGACCTCGTCGTTTTTGTAATATCGTTGTTGCGTCTAACGGCTCATCTTTCGTTCAAGGTCATTCTCTGACGATCTCATGCGTGTAGTAAGCTTTTCCGAAGCAATGATTAAACGATTAACCTGTTTCATCCTATCCAAGAGAGCAAATAATTCAACAGATCGAAGTTTCCATTTGATTAATAGTTTCTTGGCAAAACAAAGAAAGAGTGGAGTTTCATGGTTTTAATGACCTGTTTTTCGATATGACCGATTTATGTAGATCACTGTTAAATTTCGTTCACATTGAATGATGTTAAATTAAATGAAAAAAATATTTCTATTTAAAAAAAAACAACTTAGATAAACTTATATTTCTTGCGATAATCAAGAAAAACATTATCATAATCGTAAGTTATATACGTTGTATTCTAATTTTCTATTCGTTATCTATTTTCAAAGCATGTGCCCACGTATATATGGTCAATAACATTACCCGCATCCTACAGATTATTTCTGTAATATATTTTCTTTGTTTTTTTCTCCCCCACTAAAGATTTATTGATCATTTCTTTGACGGATAATGTTGAAGAATTTAAAACCCACCATTAGAAAAATTTAGAAGAATTACGTTACCGTGAAATGAAAGAAAAGAAAGACAAAAATTGTTCCGGTAAGATACGAATTTTATTAATAGGATATAAAAGCGAATACCGAGGAAGAAGTACGATGCGTGCGAGAGAATTAAAGACGCTTTAACGATACCGCGAGGTAATTAATATAATTGTCCTCGAGCGGCACACGCTAAATTGCCATTCCTCTCGAGCTTACTCCCTATTTATTTCTTTCCTCCAAGAAATACACCTGCGCGTATTAACAACTTCGATGATCAATTAATTTCCTTTAATTAAGAAGTAGAAAAAGGTAGGAAGAGCGGTGGTAAAAATAAAAAGAGAGAACAAATTATTGTAGCGTAACGAATAACACGCGTGTTCTTATCGAATTATTTCAGAAGATTTGAATTATAATCTTGAAATTCGTGCGAAACGTTTTTTCATAATATCATACTTTATATTTAACAATTAATATAGGAAAAGAAAAGAAAATTATCGAATAATCAATAAATCCACTTTATTGTTAAAAGAAAAACAAATGAAAATAAACGTCGAAAGATAAATATACAGGACAGTGGAAATTTTGGGGATTATTTAAAAATATTCTTTAAGAGGTTGTAGACGCGACCTTCCAGCCCTTTTCAGTCCTCTCACCATATCACTGGTTGTTCTCTCCTTTCGTATGCAACTGTGAACACCACCTAATATCCGATGCCATGGAACATACTAATTAGCCTAGGAAGCGAAACGCATCTCGAATACATAGTAGATATGCGAGAGAGAAGGTTAGGTACCAAGGATGGTCCTTCTACTTCTTGGATGGAGAACGTCAACTCGAGTTAGGTTCTTGGTCCTTGGCCCTATACTGTTAACTATACTACCGTAGTATGATCGATCGAGTAAATTACTTCCAACTCGTAATTTATATACACATGCACATATTTCCTGTATATAGTATAATTATAGTTGGATCTGAATAAATCATAAACGTATATTTACCCCACTTTCCTGGCCGCCATATTGCTTCCAATAATTCGGCGACGGGATCGAAGAAACATTTCCTTGTAGTATCGAACTAGTAGTTCCTGACAAAGGAATAGCAGTATTGTTGTTGCTTGGATTGGAAGTTTGAAAGCTATCAACGAATAGGTTACTCGCTGATTGGCCAATCTTTCGAGCTTGACTCGAGGATGAAGAAGAAGAGGTAGAAGTGGCGGAGGAAGCGGAAGAAGGAGAAGAAGAAGAAGAAGAAGACGAAGACGAAGAAGTTCGAAAATGATCGTTGCAAACGATTGGAGTATCGATATCTCTTCTTCCTACGTTTGAAGATAGTCTAGAGAGGTTTAGTTCATTGGTCCCACTTTGTGCAAGACTATTACTATGACTATCACCGTTATTCGAAAATGTCCCTCGGATTTGAACGGATTCGATTTGAGAGTAACACGAACAACCGGTCCTTACCGAACTCCGAATCACTTTCGAATGTACGCTGGATGATAATTTACCGTCGAGGCCAAAATCACTCAATTTAAAGTTTTGCTGATTCATCTTGAAGTCCATGTTGTTCTTGAAACTTCGATCCATATTCGTTCGTCAATCTTTTTTCTTTTTCTTTTCTTTTTTTTTTTTAACTTTACTTTACTTTACTTTACTTTTCTTTACTTTTCTTCTCTTCTCTCTATCGTATCACTTTTTCCCGTGAACTATTTTATCCATACGTTCGAAGTCAAACGCGAAATCTGTTGGCACATACATATTTCTCTAACCGGTTTTCCTCGACACACTGTCTAAACACTTATGTTGCTCGAGGAGAATCGGATTCACCAGTGTTCTTTAAAACGATCCCTTGATCTTTCGTATTGGATTCCGATAACGTCGAACAGATACCTCCTTTCTGATTTATGCGATTTCAACGATCTATCGAGTATCTCGTTCGAGCGGGTCATTATTCCTTGACAATTTTTGTTTCCTTGTTTTTTTTTTTTTTTATTTCTTTTTTTTTACATTCAAGAAACTCGATCCTACAGAGATCGAATGAGATACGAAATATATATATATATATATCGATCGAATGACACTTAGAGCACAGTCTAGTTGGGATTTCTAGCAGTACCTAATCTTTACCACATTTTTACTTTAAGAAAATGACATAAATATATACGTGGCTATATCATATTTATGAACTTATGTAAAATGTTATAGTAATAATTACGTAACGATCTATGTTTCACTGAGATTCATTAGTTATAAGAAAATAATATTTCGATTTTTGTAATTTCACTATATGTTCACTATATGCTATTAAATTATTAGATAAAAGTGTTAATGTTATGATAATTAATAAAAAAAAAAAAAAACAAGTAAAATATATATATGAGAGTTTACAGATTTTTGTGAAAACATAAGGATAACTTTATGCGGCCATTACATTTTATTTATAAAATAATAGTCAAAAATGATGGTAGACTTTTGAACAATTGACCGATCACATTTACTTTACCGAGCTTCTTGCCTTGACACGGTTCGAATCTAGTATTGTTGCTTGGCCCTTTTAAAAACATCCGCTCGTCATGAATTTATCGTCGTGTCGACGTTTATCGTATACACGCGTGACCAATCGATTTGAGATCTTTCCAAAAATTCACGAGCCAAATATACGGAGAATGTTTATATTTATTTTGAAGGTGACACTTTTCAGAATTCATGAACAATTGTATCGTTGTTATAATGACTTTTTTAAAATGAACAATTCAAGAAATGTTTTTGTTGTTTGAAGATAACTGTAAATTTAAACGTTGTCAATTAAAGAATCAATGAAAATAACTCATATGATTTACTTGTTATCGATCTTACTAAAAAAAAGAAATATTGCGTTATGCTCGAATAAGAAGTTTTTTAGTGACTACAAATAAAAAAAAAACAAAAGATGCATCTTTCAATTATCATTAAATCGTCAGTGAGATATCTAAAAACGTTGATCGTTCGATCAAGAAACTTTCACAGCTGGAAATCTCGCCTACTTCAGGAATAAAGGAGAGGACTCATGCCAATAATAAGCCTACCCAATAGAGAAGCCAAAACGAAAAGTTTCTATTGTGACGCCTACTACAGTTTAACCAGCGTTCGTATTATTATATCGTAGTTCGATCGTACTCATCGGTAAGGACACTTTTAGAAACGCCACGATTCTCACGAAGATCGAACCCGGAAGAACCTTAACGAAAGAATCTCCAATGGCTAAGAACGAAGCACGTATTTACGATCGAAATTTTACTCGTGCACATACATATATACACATTAACATACGCACAAGCATACACACATACACTAGTGTAACATACACGACGTATGCACGTACGTATGAACGTTGGCACGATTCCTTCGTATGCACGTATACATTTAATAGAAAAGAATAAAACACATTTACATAGAAAACCACGAAACAATCGGTAGGGGATTAGAAGGCAACTGGCGAGCAACCAGTTCAGGCAGCCAGTAGAGAGACGACTGGTTTTGTTAACTTGACTCATAGACTACACACCGCACGAACAGAGGCTGAGGTCCAGCGTGACTCCCCACCAGATCCGCGACTCTAGGCGAATGCTCTCTCTTTCTCTTTCTCTCTCTTTCTATTATACACAAATACACACACACACACACACACAAAACACTTGTATTTCTTATGGTTCATGCTCAGCGCTGAGATAGCATATACGAGGCTACTCGTGAGTATGTAACCTGCTTACTCGCCATGGAAAACACTTTCTGTCCTTTACTTGCAAGTATGTATATTTGGATGTGCTTCTTTTCTCGCTTCTCCGAACGTTCCTCTTATACATGTATACTATAAGTATATGTATCATCATACTTACTACTTTCGATGTGGTATCGTATCGAATACAATATTACAGGATTTATATGAGAATCGAACTTTCGCGAACGATTTTTAATGTTTCAAATGAATATTTTTTTTTTTTTACGAAAGATATGATATGAAATACAATAATAAATCTTCCATTTTGAATTTTCACATGTTTTTTTTTGATAATATTTCGATTTGATTTAAAAATTTTAGATTTTATACGATGGATTACACTTAAATGTGTATTTTATTTCGACTATAATCATAAGAATATCGTAAATACTTTTAAAATCGATTTATTTTCAGCAAATAAAAAGAAGAAAGAAAAAAAAATAATTCCATATAAAATATGCGATGCTCGAGGTATTTTATATACTCAATTAAACGTTAACAGTCGTAATATATTCGATATAATACGAATTATTAGTTTCTTTTAATATTCGAAAAACGGAACATATTTTATTTTAAACGTACTTAAGCTCGATCGCATATTTCGCAGAAAATAACGAATAAAATATCATATCGTCTCAATAAGAAAACAATTGGAGGATCAATACTATGAAAAGTATTATTATATAAATGAAACAGAAAATCGTGATTAAAATGATGAATAACAACAAATATGAGATGGGGATATAAAAATATAAAAATAATACATATAAAACAAATAAATAAATACATAAATATAAAAAATAACTGCACGATAAATTGTACGTTATCGGGAAAACTTCAAGGATTAAAGCGGTCGTTGAGATATAAAAAGAAAAAGAAAGAGAGAGAGAGAGAGAGAAAGAGAGAGAGATAAAAGAAATTATTCCAATGTAATATTCGGTAAGCGTGCTAGGGGAATCGCATGTTATCGAAGGGTAAAGATAATGAAGGTGTAAAGCGCTATCATTCGTTTCGTCCTTCGAAACATGGATGAGAAAACGTAAATCGTAAAAGACGTGCCCATATATTAGTCCTGTCGGTTGAGATTTTTTTTACTGTCATATCTACCCTCCACCTCCCCTTCTTTTTCTCTCTTATTCTTATCCGGTTACCATGCGAGAGGAAAAAGGAGAACAAAAAATGAGAGACAGAGAGAAAGATATCGGATTCTTTGACCCACAATACAAGGGAAAATGAATAATACCGCGCGCTAGAAGAACAACGTTATAGCTTGCTAGTTCTTTTTACGAAATGGAAAAGACGTATATTGATTCAAAGGGGGCAGCAAGCGTTGTTTACAACGACTATCTCTACCCTCTCCTACAGAGAAAACCCATTAATCTTGGATCGTTTGCGATATTTTAATCGGCTGCTATTCCTTATTCACACACCGAGGTCAAATACCTCAGAGTAGACTTAATTGTCTTTATGGTTTATTTCTCTTTTTTCCTTTTTTTTTTTGCGGAGTCTTCGATACGAAAGAAAAATTAACGAGGAAAAATCCCTAAAGAATGAATTGTTCTACTTTTATTATATATATGTACACACACACATGCACATGGTAACCCATCAATATATGCCAACACTTCAGGAGGTAAATCTATACGTTAATATAAATTTTTCAAAAGTCATATGAACATATGTTCTATATAAGTACCTCTTGATTTAGAGTTATGAATGATAACAAAAAATATTCCCCTTCTTATCATATTATATTCGAATATATATAAATTTTTTTTTTTCATTATATTCCTCATAAAAGAATATTTTTTCTCTACAAAAAATGAAAAAAAAAGAATGCTTTACAGTTTAATTGAATAAAAAGAAATTCTAGAAAAAAGAATAATAATATAAAATATAAAATAAAATTAAAACTAAAAAGTAGATATAAAAGAATGTTTTTAGATAGATTAGATGTTTTTAGAATTTTTCCTCTGACATCTTGAAAATGGTTAGAGTATTAGATCTCTCATAGGGTTTAATATAATGTCCTAAAAGAGTTTTACCACTGCGTAAAATTTACAACAACAACAAAAAATCAGAGACTATAAATCCTGGTGTTGCCCTTGCAAGAGAAAATAAAACATTAAGTTTCTAATAATCTTTCCTTCCAACCAAGAGAAGAAAAAAAAAAAGAAAATAATTATATATTTCGTGTTTTCATAGAACATCGTGAGATTGATCGATCTTCGTAGCTTTTCGAAATTGCATCCTTGAGTGTCCGAGAAGTTAGACGCTTCCTCCATTACATTACTAGAGGAATACAGAAATAGTTCGACGAGTTTGTATATAAACGAGAGTAAAAGAAAAAGACGGAAACAGAGAGGGGTGGGAGAAGGAGAGGAGGGAGAGAGAGAGAGAGAAAAGAGGGAAATGAAGAGGGAAATGAAGAGGGAAGAAACAGTGGGAAATACAAGAGAGAGAGAGAGAGAGAGAAAGAGAGAAAGAGAGAAGAGAATTACGAGTTATGCCGGAAAACGGTGGATTATGTGTGTTTTAGGCCCTCCGCATTCCCCCGCTCCTTCTCTACTTTTCAAAGCCGAGGAGTTATGTTTGAGCACGAAAAGTAAACTTCGACTTGGTGGCGACGCGCGAGCCGCTTTGTACGGATTAGAAGGCGCCCGTGCCACTGCTGCCATTGCCACCCCTATCCCCACCCGCCACCACCACCATCACCATCGTGGTTGCTGACGCCGTGCCGCAGTATCCAACATTCTCCTTTGTCCGTAGAAGAAACCGATTCTTCTCTTCCAACGAATTTTCTTTGTAACGAACGGAGAAAAGAAAGAGAAAGAAATATATAACAGAATTTATAACAGAGTATAACAT